AGATTTTAGCAATCAGGTCCCTTCAAAGTAGTCCCACTCTATTCTTTATTGTGCCAGAGAGCTCTCTTCTGTGGCTTCTCTGGACCATGTGAAAGGCACACATGATGCACCTGTCATCCAAACCATTCCAAATGACCCAAAGAGGGCTTCTCAAACTTTGCCTCTGCCACTGAGCTGGGCCCTCGCACCTCCCCCAGCTGGTTTGGGAGCCCAGGCTCAGGGCGTCTCCCTGCAGATCGAGAAGTTGGGAGGCACAGGAGGGCAGGGTCCCTGTCGTCAAAACACATTTTCTTCCTGGTCAGTGAAGACCAACTATTGCCCTGTCCCAGAGGCAGAGAGGCTGGGAGGCAGTCACTGAGAAACAGAGAGCTCTACCACTTGCAGGTGGCATAGGACAGGCTCGCCCAGACATCCCTGGAAGAAACTGGACTGTTGAGTGGGCAATACACACTGGTCAGCTTTGGAATTATTCTCTGCCATCGAGGCTCCCCCGCTGGGGTCAGGGACACAGCAACAAAACGACAGAGCAAATCGCTCATGGCAGAGGTCAAGTTATGGATGGAAATTTACTTCTTGGTCCTATCCTGGAGCCACCACTAAGCCTTCTACCACAACTTTACCTTGAGACAAAAATAAAGGCAGACGCCAGCTCACACCATGTGAGTCCCTTCGTCAGTGGATAAAGTGCGTCTGTGTCAGCCTGGAAGGGCAGCTGGGAGCCTAGCAGGGACAGGTGGAAGGCAGGGACAGGAGGGGGGATGGACGAAGCCTGGAGTTTGGGCATCAGTAGGTGTGGACCACAGGAGCAGACCCAGGATGGTACAGTGGCAAGACCGGTAGAGGTAGAAGGGGGAAGCACAGCCAGAAGATCTCGAATGTCAAGGTGAAGAGTGCAGACCATTCATTCATCCCAGCTCAGGGTGGATGAATGGAATAGTTCAGAAACAGACACACACACACACACACACACACACACACACACACACATTCGGTGGTGCTGCGGATAGATTATGAGTATTCTCTGTAGTGCCCCAAAATGAAAGAAGCTGAAGGGAAGTGGGGAGGTGGAGGTAGGAGAAGAAGGAGGGTGACAATTTTGGTGACTTGAGAGGAACCTGCCAGCACTGGGCACCCAGACCGGGCAGGAGTGGGGGTGGCTCGGGGGAAGCTGTGGAACTCAGGAAGAGGAAGGATCAGATCTGACTGTGAGCTTTTCTGCTAGCTCAGGACCACCTAGAGCTTTGCCAGGCTAGACGATGCGTCCTCTCATGCAACATACCCTGGAAATCTGATAGCAATGGGTGTCAACTTCTACAGTGAGGTGCAGATACCTTTGGCTGCCTTGTCTAGGGCATCACCTGCCCCTCCTATAGGTTTTCACAGACACCTTGTAGAGCAGGAAGATACATTTCTCACCAGTGGGTGAGGAAAACTCACGATGGCGCTAGACAAACTGTGGAAAATGTGTTTGTCCAGCAAAGGACTTTTGGGGCCAGACTTCTGAGATGTGATTCCTCATGAACAATCACCATGGGACATTGTCAACCACCCTAGAATGCTCAGACCATCTTTGGTGGCCAAATGAATAATCACGACCCTAAACACATAACGAGTTACAAGACAAAATCATGCTTCATGCGAGAAGTAAACAGAGCTCTGAGAACATGTAACCCAATGCGGTGTTCCAGAGAAATCTTTCCTGAGAAAGTGGCCTTTGATTTGCAAGCTGAGGTCGACTCCGTATTATGTAGCAAGGTGGGGTAGAGCTAAATTTTGGCATGACTCTCTTAGGTTCCTGCCATGCTATTCTTCACATATACCAGCAATGCCCTACAACCGGATAGGACAATTTCATGAAGTGTGAGACTACTTGGTGACATGGCTCACAGCTGAATTCCACATGCATATTATCCATTTCTTGGTTATTAAGGCTCCTGTGATTGTGTGTGAAGCGTAGATAATTGAAAGACGATCACCAGACCTCTTTTTCATCATTATCTTTCCCCCTCCAACTTGTGTTTTTAAACTAGAGTCACTAACCACTGGTGGCAAGCTTTGATTTGTGGTTTCCTATCTGTCCTGGCTCACGGAAATGACTCAGATAAGTTGCAAGACACAAGGGTGCCTTAACCCACCTTCCTAGATGATACAGAGTCAACCTCAACTCTCAAATCAAAGGACACTTCCTCAGGGAAGAGTTCTCTGCAATATTCTCAGAGTTGTACATTCTCAGAGCCCCTTTTACTTCTCATACGAAGCACTATTTTCTCTTTTGATATTACGTGTTTAACACTGTGATTATTTGATCAATATATTTATTTGCCACCAGACTGAAAGCTCCATGGAGTCAGGGATAGCTTCTGGTTTTTCTCTCCCTAGTGACTAGTACAGAGCCTGGATGATCACAGGTGCTACAAAAATGTGAATTGAAATAAAGCCTGAAAAGTAAAAGAAGAGCCAATGAGTCCCAGAAGATTCTGAGCAACAAATCATCCCAGCAAATGGAACTCTAGCCTAGCATTTTTAAGACAAACCTCCAAAGAGCATTAAATGTCTGAAGGGAACTTGACTTCATCCTTACCGGTAACTCCATGCCTTAATTGTGAAATCATCAATAATATTTATCTACTATCAAAATAACTAATAATAATAGTATTCCATCATTAGTTGGACTATGGAATAGCCATATAGTAAAGAATAACAATGTCTACAAAGAAGAGAAAAGAAAGAAGTACAAAGTCATTTGTACTTGGAGTATAAAATATAAAATCATTTACTTGGAGTATATAACTAAAACAAATTAAACAATTTAAGCTGGGGGTGGGTGTGGAGAAGAATAGACAATACCAAGTTAAATAATAAAAGCCACTTTGCCAGCAATTTCCTCAAGGGCATCTGACTCAGGCAAGATTGAAGCAGGCCTTGTCCTTGATGGGGTCAGGCAGGCCTTTCACCGCTTGCCTGATTGATTCTTTCATAGACACACCCAGAAATGCAAGTTAACTACTTTACCCGCTGTCCAACTGAAAAAAAAAACCAAAAAAAAAAACCTTTCCCAGGACCACAGGATAGGCACACTGACTACCATGGACTTAACAGGTAGTACTGAGTGAGTCCAATATGGACCCTCTCTCAGGAATTTTCAAAGGCAATTTTGACCATACTTGATTTTCTCCTTTTGCTTTGGCTATAAAATCCAACTGCTATGTTAGATTCAAGCCCACTGCCCTTCCCGAGTGTCAAGGTGGTAGTTACAGACTAGCCAGTAGTTAGGATGATCTAGGCAGAGCCTTGGGTTAAGGAATGGGGTGGCCTCATTCCTTCTACCAGGATGAAATAAGCGTCTCTGCATAGACAGATCAAGGGACTGGAGACGAGTCAGGAGTCTGGTGGGTTTAGTGCCCGGTCTACAGAGGACGTGGAGAGCTCCTCTTCTGGCTCATGTGGGTGGACGCTGTACAGGTTTGATTCCAACTTGGGGAAATGGATCAAGAACAGAGACAGCTAAGTCCACATCACAGAACTAGGAGGACGGAGAATGGAGACCATCTGTGTCAACACAGCTATTTCTTCCAGGATATTCTTGCCCAGGATGTTAAGGCTTTAAACCAATAAATCACTTTGCTGTTTGCTGCAGGAAATTCCTACAAAACAATTGGTCCTGGCAAACAGTTTGTTCACCTGGGAAAAGCTTGCTTATCAAACAATAGTTAACTTGCCAAGATTCTATTCAAGACCATCGTCTTGCTGAATCCCCCAATCTTGAACTATGATGTCAAGCATATCTCTGCTTTGAAAAATGCAGCTCCAAGGGCACACGCTCAGACCTATAAACCCTATTAAAGATGCCTCCTGCTGTCCCACTTGCACATCAGTGGAACTGTGTCCGGGTGATGTCTGTCCTTACTGTCCTCAGCTTAATGAATTTAGCTTTGCTGCATCAACAGGCTCTTCTGGTGGATTTTTTTGGAGTCCAAAATTGATACAATAAATCAGGTTTAGCCTTTTGCAAGTGGGAAGCATATGCATGCAAGTTAATACATACTTACAACCCATCAGGTTGGGATAATTAGTAAACATTGTCAGTTTTCCTCATAATTAAGAAACCCCTATATCATTCCTTCTTTGAGGAAAAAGATCTGGTGTTTGAACACCTGCCTGTGACAGATTTCAAATGCACATTTTACCTTCATTTTTCTACTCGTTTACATGAATCTGTGTTTTCCAAGTTTTCTACAGTGAGTGGGCGTTATTCTGAGGGTGAGTGAAAGGATACAAAGTAAAAGCTATAAAGAGGAAATGAATCCCCAAGAGCGAATTTGAAATGACCGCCAAGTCTTAATTGACAACATATACACACACAGCCTATTAAACACCCATTTAGAATCTTGTCTCACTCATTAAGCTGCAAGGTAATTTTAACCCATTAATATCAATATCCAAATGGGAAAGTGGTACAGTTTTAATCATGCTGCTTTGTTTGGTTCTCTCTTGCCTGATCACAAAGGGCCTCTAGATATTTGATAAAATACACCAGCAAATAACATTCAACCAGTCTAGGGTGAGACCTTGGAATCTGTTCGTTGTTGCTGCTTTTTAATGAGGACTTAAGGGACTCATATAATCAAGCAAAGTGTGAAACACACTTGCCTACAGCATCGATTTGCTGGAATGCAAATTCCAGCTTCAATCATAAAACCATCTAGCTGCAAAAGGAACAGCTGAGCAGTGGATAAACAAAGATTGCCTCAACTGTTTTACACAGGGTGGCATCTCGCAGCTCCTGGGTCCTGCCCCTGACTTGGAAGCCCTAAGTCACCCAAACTCCAACCTACTGTAAACTGGGTAACAGCTTGCAGCTGGGTTCAGGCGAGCTGCCCCACCACCCCCACCCCTACCAGGGCTGGCTCAGAGCAGCCTTCCCTCCGCAGCTCCCCACACAGCCTGGGCAAAGTGAGAGAGCCTGCCCATTAGCAATCCCAATCAAGGCTTCCTTTTACCTTAAAGAAACTTCCTCGCTTGTCCAGACCGCGGGCACCCATGGTCCAAGCTGACATCTCCCCCAGCGACATTCTACTGCACGCCCGGGACTCCTGAAGGTAGAGACATTTTTAATGGTTAGTCCAGCCTGTAGGAAATTCCTCTCTAAGCCACAGAACACTCACAACAACGGTCCTGCCAAGATCTTTTTCCGTCAACAACACAGTGCCATTTATTTCCCACCAAAGCCCTTCCATCCCCTTTCAGGCTGATTTCCTGCCCCAGACAGCACAGTTCCTAGTCTGTGCCCCACCTCACTGCCCCACCTCCTGCTCCTCCAGCTGACGCAGAAGGTCTCTGGCACCACGGAAAGTATAATGATTGCTTTGTGTGTTTGCTTGACCTCACGCTCGAGTCCTAAAGAACCGATATTAGATGTCACCGTAATCTGCTCTGAAGCTTATGGACTTAATGTGGCTGAACACAGACAGACAGCAGAAGAATGAGGCCCCTGCATGTCCCAGGAAATCCTGCTGGAATGGGATGAGGTCATCATCAGCTCTGCGAACCCTCTCCCCCAGGCAAGGTCAACACAAGGGCACTGGGAATAAATCCCTTTATTTTCTCCTTAGAAATCAAAGATGGGGATGAAATCCCATGTCCCTGTTTACAGAGATTAGTTTGTATAAGAAACAGCCCGGAAACAGCTCCACGATAACCCAAGGGGAGGGGGGCAGGGCACTTTGGAATTTAGAGAAAAATTTAAAGGCATGATATGATTCTGAATCATAACTGTGGCCATTTCAGCCTGGAATTTCCCTCCCTTGAGCATCAAAACCCAATAAGCCTCCTTGTCAACTACAAAGCCTACAGTGTCCACTTCTAAGTAAAATATATGCACACCCAAGCAGCTGGCCTCATCCCAGTCAGCAGGCATCAAAGACCTTGGGGCGCATCCCCAAACCTTCCTTACCCAAGGAGGCTGGACCAAGAGCAAATATAAAACTTCTCCTGCTCACCATAACCTGGCCCAAGATAAAGTTCGTCCTGACCATGACCAACACGGTCGGTGTAAGGACAATAAAATGAAAACATGTCACACCACATTAAGGCATATTAAAAGGGGTTCAACTGTGGGGGGGGGGTGGGGAGACACAGAAGCCAAGGTCGCTGCTGCTAGTTTGCTAAAGCTGTTTCATTATTAGCAAGGGAACAGAGAGCCAGCAGCTCCAAAGGGACTTTCCTAACAAGTGGGAAAGCTTAATTACTTAGCAGAGAACTACATGCATATTAGCAAGTAATGCTCTTGGGAAAGGGGCTCATTTTGGCCCCAAGATTAGCCTCAGTGTTCACATTCATAGTGGGCTCCATTGGTCTGCGGAGTCCCATCTAGGAAGACAGTAACGCAGTGCACACCCATCCCTCTTTCCAGAACCTTCACCTATTTTAGCCCTTTCTCCACGTCTCGGTCACTTTAAAGGTTTGGAGATGCCTTCCCTGTGTTTCTTTCCACTTGCAATCCCGCTGGGATAAAGGCCAAGGCTCCAAAACCTCCTGAGAAGACTGGTGAGCTTTCCTTTGCAATTCTGCTGACTCCAAAGCTTCAGGTTCTCGGACTCAGCAGCTGAATGGAGCCCCAGCTCCAAGGCCTTTGAAGTTCATCACTTATTAGCAAAATCCACAGACTGGAGCAACTCCAGAATGAAAACAGTGCTGTGTTCAGAACCAAGAGGGGAATGGGAGCCACACCGTAATCCCAGGGAGTAAATGATTAACTGTTTCGATGCAGAAGAAACATACATTAAAAAAAGAACATTTCTTGACACCAAGCCTAAAATTCTTTTCCTTTCAGACGTTTTCTCAGCGAGGGATTTGACATCGTACAGCAGTTAAGGAGCTGGCAGGCGAGAGTCAAGACTTCATTCCTCATCCAGACCTAAGTCTCTTTGTTCTGTTCAGAAGATTTCCACAGACAAACCCCTTCTGATGAGCCATGACAGGCAGGGAATTTTGCCTATAGCAACGGAGCGGTTTGGATTCCAGAAGTTTAGCAGTTTAATTATCTACCTGAAAATCATATGCACGCACTTCAAATTCCAGCGGTTATCTGTAAAATAGCCAGTTTGGATTCCATGCATGCGGGGCAGACAGACCTATCACATTTCTCCAAGAAAATGCAGGTCGCCTCCCCTCTTCTTCAAAACGCTGCTCCAGGAGGGAGATGACAGCAGGTGACAAGAGCAGGTGGCCAAGCGCAATAGCGGGTTCTTCCCATTGAGTAAATCCAAGTGGACTGCACATCATTGATTATCCTCATTGAAAAAAAAAAATTCAGTTCTTAAGGGCCCCAAAGAAGTTCTGGCTTAAGGTCCTTCCTGTTGTAGCAATAGTTTCCTTCCCAAACCATAACCTCTAATACCTTAACTCAATATGGACAGAAATTTAATCTAACGTAAAAGCATAGCTTCTTTCCATTCATGGTTCCCCACCCTCCCTTACCCTGAGGGGTTACACCAGGGTTCGGTCCTAAAACTACCCCAGTAACAGACTAGACAAAAAAGGTGCAGTAGTTGGAGAGGTTGTTAAATTTCTCCAGATTTGTATGTTGGGAGCTTGCTCCTTTCCTGGATTCCCTGAAGGGTAAACTGGATACTTGAAAAACGAGCCCATCACATCCATCCAGTGAATCTTTCCAGATGCTAGCTAAAAGCTAGCAAAAAAATAAAAAATAAATAATAGTGGGGGGGGGGGAGCCCTAATGGGACACTGCAAACATTTTGGAGCTGCCAAGTCTTTTCAATAACACCACTGAAGGAATGTAAACGAAGCGGGTTGCTCCAGTCAGCTAAAGGACAAAGGCAGGAAGTGAATATTCCTCTCTCCCAGAAACACCAGCCTTTGCCACTTGAAATTAAACCTAGCTGTGGCTTTTCATGTGGCCCCAAGAACCACTGCGAGGTGAAGGTCGGTCCTGAATTTTCAGCGTGGAGGACGCACTGAGTGGTCTGGCGGGGCTCGGGGCTGGCTGTCCAGCGCCTTCCACTGGGAGCCGATGAGGACAGGCACGGGGGCACCACCGCCTGGACCCTGGCTGCAGGCTGGGTACAGGGAAAGGGACACCGAGTGCCTAGCTTCCAGTTCACTGATCAGCGGGGCTGGGTATAGTCACTGGCACTCTTGCCGCTTTTGCTCTCCTTGGCCACAGGCCAGATCTTGGCAAGACAGGAGGGTCCGTAGTGTAGCCTCCTTCCCCCACTGCCCTCCACCTCCCCCCCCTCCATTAATTTCATCAAACTACCCTTCCTACTTATTTGCCTCAAATCACAAGTGCAGACCCACAGGAGAAGCAGAGGGACACTTAAACTGGCATCTGCTACTCACAAGTCCAATTTATAAGAAACTGTGCCTCTTCAGGGCATGGGTTCTCAACGCCAAGCTGCTGGGACAGTTGGGTACAGAAGTCTTCCCTAATCACTACCTTTCTTCTTCTCCTTCCTTGCAGCTGAATGAGATGCAGCAAAGTGGACTTCAGCTCTTAGTAAACAAGCTCTCATTATAATTATTTTATAGCCGAACTGACAGAAGAAGGAGAGAGTGACTCACCCCTGGGAATTTGTCAGGTCAAGGCCAATCCCAAGAAATGCACATCACCTTTTTTCCCCAGTTCCTTAAGTGCCTCTGAGGACGGCAGGTCTGTCTTTTTGAATGCTTTTCATCGTTACTAAGAGGTAAAAGCCCAGTGGCACGGCTCTGTGTTGGCATCCAAGGAAGGGCTCTGAATATTTCCATAATTATCTCTGTATTACCAGGGATTTTACAGGCTGGACAGAAAAACTATAGTCCAGGCTCTGGGTTGACAATTCAAATTACATAATTTTTTTTTCCAAATTATATGACTTTTTAAAAAAATGTTTTTCTTTAAGCATTTTTTATCACTGTCCAGCACTGATTTTCCCTCAGTTGTAGTCAAACTTTTTAAAAAAACAGTTTCAGGATTATGAATTGTTTTTATTGCAAAGAGAAACTAATTTGTGGGAAGAAATCAGAAGCAAAGACCATACTCCCAGTTCTCTTCCTAATAACTATTTTTATTCTTATTTCATTTTAAAAAAAGATTTATTCATTTATTTGAGAGTGAGAGAGAGAGAGAGAGAGAGCGAGCGAGCATGCGCACAAGTGTGGGATGGGGTAGGGCAGAGGGAGAGGGACAGAGAGATTCTCCAGCAGACTCCCCTCTGAGTGCGGAACTCAGTCTCAGGACTCTGAGATCAAGACCTGAGCCAAAAACAAGAGTTGGACGCTTCACCAAATGAGCCACCCAGGTGTCCCTCATAACTGTGTTTTTAAATAGAATTGGGAACAATGTTCAGCACCTTAATTTTCCCCAAATTAATGAAAGATCATAAAATAATTTTTTTTTTTTTTTAAAGAAAGGTGCATTTCTAAGACTGGCCCAACAATGGGGCTAATTATTCCACTGGATGTCTACCCCTTCCATCCTTGGAAAACAGGTGCCTCATAGAGACTGTCACCATATCCATGCTGCATTAGCTTTGCTAGTGCCTACGTGGCCAAGGTGTGGACACTTCCACCAATGGCAATCCATGCCACCTTGGGCAACAGATGGGCAGCTCAACAGGCAAGAAATTCCGCTTTTCTTGGATAGAAAACTGCCTCTCCAACCTCCCACCTGATAAATGCCCTCATTTTATCCCATGGACCATTCAAGAATCAGCTTCCTGCTTTCCCCTCTTCTGGATCCCTGAAGACATCCCTATTCCTCCTTTGAGTTACTTCTTCTCTTGAGCATGGCTCCATCCTCAAGGCTGGTACACTCTGCCCAGCTGGAACAAGGCTGAGAAGGGAGAGGGGGTGCCTACTCCCCCAGGCCGCTCTCTTGCAGCATTTCAAAAGTATGTGTCTTTTCAACATCCTCACATAAAAAGCTCCAAGTGGTAAATGTTACACACGTTGCACATTTCTACAGTGACTTCTTGGATACAATAAGGAAGCCTCATAAGCCACATTGGCTCTTAACCTAAAGGAGGCCATGGACAGGGAGCCACACACCCCAGGTCTTCCTCAAGTTTTACCTGCCAACATGTGAGCACCT